AATGTAGGACGCCAGTTTACTGAGGAGCGTTGCGAGACGCGCATGCCAAACTACCCATGAAGTGCTTGTTTAGGGCACTCTCTAGGTTTATTCCTCATGTTAAAGAAACTATTAAAGAACATCACATTCTATACAGCGTTAGCCAACCACGACATAGAAACCACATCACAACAATAAATATATAAAATGTTCATAGTTTTTGGCATTATTTACCAACATGCGGTGTTTGGCAGCGGGTCGTGTCATCGTGTACCTTGTACCAACGAACTGTCCATGACATCATTCTGAAGCAAACCTGTGACTGTTACAGTTTCTACAAACCTTTGTTTGGAGTTTCTAAAGAATTTTGAAAGTCAAAGTCAAAAACTTTTAGCATGTTGATCGGTTACTGAATGTTTTACTAGAGGGATGGTCTAGGTGGTTCTGTTCGGGATTCCTGAGCTAGGTAAAGCGTGTTAGAGGTATATTTGATCACAATTTACAGTCATATTACGGATTTTGGAACAGTGTTACAAAACGAATCACTTGATGGTAACCAATTGGCACCGCCCATGGCCAACCGAAACACCAGAGGTTACAAGTGCGTTACACCGGCCTTTTCAGGATTAGGAATTTGAGGATTATTGGGGATTAGGGGATTAGGGAGATTAGGGAAGAGAGTTATTGGTCCTCCGATAACCTCAGTCACAAGACGAAACACAATGTCGTCTCTTTACGTCGGTTTTCTGTGAGGCCGTGGTATCACTTCGGTCGAGCCGGCCCATTCGTACCGAAGCAGGGCTCTCCGATACTTAAAGTCTTACAAAGCTGCTCCAATTGGACTGATTGCAGAGGATACACCACTGGAAAACATTTTATGTATCCCATTGTTACGAATACGTTATCTCCCTTTATTACCGACTTCAAAAAAGGAGGAGGTACTAGTACTATGTTCGGCTGATTGTTTTTTTTTTTTTTGTTCGCGCATTACTCCGCCATTTGTGAACCGATTTCCAAAATTCTTGTTTTGTTTGAAAGGGTATATTTGTCTCTCGAGATGGTCCCATTTCCATGAGGTCAGGACCTGATGATGGGATCCTAGGGAAACCGAGGGTAACTTTCGAAAATTCTAGGGGCGAGTAATACGTCTATTATGTTTTTGAATTTGGCAATAGGTTTCTGATGGTAAATATCATTATTCTTACAGTATACTTAAGCAGTCATAACCATATTTGTTCACAACTTTCATTCAGTCTCTCAATGCAGTAGGAACTCGGTACAGTCGAAATTAGCCGGTGCTGTGTAAACAGCTTGTTCATTTCGCAACTACCTATTTAAAGTTGATTACAAAATCGAATGCACTTTGCAAACAACTGCACATTTTCCACGAATCGTTCTAGAAACTTCCTCAAAACATTGTTACCGAACTGCATCTAAAGTGAGATTGATTTCCAAATGTTTACCTACAGTTCTAACATAGGTCCTAATCTATGTGGACTAAGGACTTCCACTATTAATCAATCTTGCTTGGATTGCGAAAAAGATTCGTTGAGGATTTTTTTACCGTTAGGTGGAATAAACGCATGGGCCTCGCCTGGGGAAGATGATGGAACTATGAGACGTTTGACTAGAACTGTTCCAGTGACCCGTCTCTAATTGACTTAAGTGTGTTGTGGACTTTTGTCAATAACACAAATTGTACACCGGATCTAATGAAATCCTAATACAATCTTAGTATTGTGTAGATATTTTTTTTATATCATAAGCCGGTAAACGAGCAGACGGATCACCTGATGGTAAGCAATCGGCGTCGCCCATGAACACCTGGAACACCACAGGCGTTACAAGTGCGTTACCGGCCTTTTGGGGATTAGAAGTTTGAGGATTGTTGGGGATTCAGGAATTGGGGAGATTGGGTAATTGAGCCGGCCCATTCGTGCCGAAACATTATTATATTGCGGTTACATACGCTGAACATGAAATATGGAAAAATTTAACACAATCTGGTTTCTATCGATCCTAATTTCCTAATGAGACCTTAATGTATTAGGTACGGACGGAAGTACCTAATTCTAGCATTTTTCTATAGTATATACCCCATCTATCTAGATTATACTGATTTCTAAAGAGCGGTCAATGATCCCTAGGGACTTTTTGTCGATATTTGTACGCCAACGTCAGGCGGAGTCACGCGATATTGTTCCTGATAAGAATCGTCTAGTATGTATGTATATTTCAGTACCATTGTTTTACCAAAAACTTGTAATGTATGTGGTATATAATGAGTTTTCTTGACTGCCTCGTTGGCCGAGTGGTTGCAAGTGCAAAGGGGTCTCCGGTTCGATTCCCGGGTCGGGCAAAGTATTACTGGATTTTAAAAATTCTCAGTAGGTAGTAGCACGGAGTCTGGAATTGTGCCCGGTATATGGCAATAGGCTCACCCTCTATTACATGGGACTAATAACATAAATAGTGAAAAGTGGGTGTTACATTGTACAGTGGCATTATGTGCACTTCTGCCTACCCCTTCGGGGATAAAAGGCGTGATGTTATGTTATAATGAGTTTTCTTCCCAGAATTACCTTAATTTAAGTTTTCGCCTAAGTTCTATTATAAATCTTGATAATTTGGATTATCAAATTATCGCAAACATCAAGATAAGTGTAGTTGCTCCATTATTTTTGGTCACCTGCACTTCGTCCGATTAAAACAAAAGGAATGGTTCCGTTCCAGCCACCACGCCATTTAAAAATTTTAACAGGTCTATTTCCCATCTAGAGATTTAGACTTGAAAACATACCAGTCAATATTATTATTTCACGAATATAATATAATAACAATTTTATAACAATTTTCTTTCTCTTCAACTTCATCTCACTTTATCACTAATGATCTTGAATGACAATTTATCATCAATCCCCGATCTCGTTTTAAATATTTCCGCGACCACTGATGCTCCGTGGTGAATACGCGAAATTACTGAACGTTAAACTATGGGAAAGTGTATAATAGTGAAAGTTCTGTCATCATTATGTAGGTACCTGCTATATTTTCTTTAGTATTGTGTGAATTTTGGTTCATTTTGACCTAGTTTTTGAATTGTTGTTCTACGTTGCCTTGGGATGCTTAGTCATTACAATCTACTTTATGTGGTTTATCATATACACTTTTTTTAAACTGTCAAACACCGCAAGGACACCGGTACCCGCAACCAACGAGTTAAGGGGGGAATATCATCGAATGACTGCTTCCGCCTGAGTGAGGTGGGAGGGAGTGTCAGACTCTTACTGACTAAAAACCACCCCCTGTTCCTTCTCCTGCGCTTCGAGCCGGAGCCCCGGTAACCCGTTACCCCGGTTCTCCGCGACTCTATCATAAACACTAGGAACACAATATGCTAAGTAGTAGCACGGAGTCTAGAATTGTGAATAGGGAGTGCTATTACATCGGATTCATAAACCAAATAGTGAAAAGTGGATGTTACATTGTACAGTGGCATTAAGTGCCGTAATGTGCACCTCTCTCTACCCCTTCGGGGCTAAAGCATTGATAACAATGTTTAGTTTATTGTGTGTATTCTTATAGCAACGGTTAATTTTGAGTTTATCTACATTACTGATATGATTTATTAATGAATGGTTAAGTTAGTTAGCATAACAGCATTACCAACTTATTATGTATATTACTCGGACGATCTTATTATTACCGTCATCATCAACAGCTTATAAATGCCCACTGCTGAGCAAAGCCTCTTCTCACACGGAGAAGGTTGGCGATTTCAAACTTATTATTAGAAATTATAAGCCCAGGTTTCCTTCACCGTTGGTCAGTGGTGTCTAAATATCTTAGAAAGTACATATAACTCGGAAAAAGTCACATTGGTACTTGCCGTTGGTAGGTTTCGAACCCGCACCCTCGTGCATGAGAAGGAGGCGTCTTCAACCTCCGGGCCACCACGACACCGTTATTTATTACCGTCATAAAACTTTAAAAACAATAATGAAATAGAAACGATTGTACACAAATATTTTGCATCGATTCTTCTCATCTTTCATGTAGGTACGATTGTTATGAAAATATTGTAACACTTATTAATCTTTATAATATAAATATGGATTCAATTTACATAATAATATTTACGACAAGATGCGTTGTAAACGCATGTGAATCTTTTTGTTTTGTATGTGACATCTTTGAATTGTTTTGTAATTTGTTTTCTTTCGCTGAGGACTCACGAACGATTTTCTCCCGACGCGGTTAGTGTATCTCACTGCTAATTTTGTCCACGTGTCAATGGATAAGCCTTTTCCAGGTTGTGTTCTACAAAAACTAAAGAAATATTCTAACTATTACTGCTCACTGACGTTACTGTTTGAAGATGTTGCTTGATTATTTTCAAGCCACAACAAGGGCCCGTAATCGTTTATGCAACACGCACATACAGCCAACTTTTTTTTTTCTTCTTTGGCAACAGAGTCTCCAATACGATGTTGTCGACTATACTGCCAGTGTCGAGTTACAGCCAACTTGTTATCTACTCGAACTTGCATATCGACTATCACGTCATGCGAGCATAACCACAATCGTAATAATAGGGTAGTTTCCTAAATTTTAATGTCCGCCTGGTACGTTAATTTAAAACTTTAGACACGTATTTTTTTTTTCTCACAAAATTAAATACTTTCGACGATATATTAATTTGAAATATCGTGTGACGTCACAGCGTGCCACATTTTGTAGCACGTTATGACGGAACGACCTCCCACTCCTAAACTTAGCGCCATTTTATCTAAGTATTGCAACTAAATACGAGAAAATAAAAAAATATGTGTCTAATATTTTTTCATTATGTAACTGACGGACTAATTCGATTTTTAATTTTGACACCCTGGCGACTACCCAATTCTTAATAATATTCAACGGTAATTTTCCTGAGCTCCAAGCTTTCCTATCATTGGACATACCGAATCTAGTCATTAAAGCTATACAGATCACTATAACTCTAATTATTACTTTTCCAGGTCTCCACTCAGATCTATCCCTCACATCACTGGATGGCGAAGAAGGTGAGACGCTACGACGTGGTGCGCTCGCCGCCGCCTGCGCAGATGCTGTCGCAGCGTATGCCACGCTCGAAGGATCCCGTGTACGAGACTCCATTGCAGCGCATGCGCGTCGGGCGTTGGAACGAGAGAGGCAGATCGATGAGAAGAATGAAATTATTGCTGATCTTTCTTCTAAGGTTAGTGTTTTGTTAAAACTTCCTAGTCTCTGTGTGTATCTTAGAAGTACCACCGGCGAATAAACGGGCAGCATCATCCTCATCATCATTAGCATTTTCCCAAATTTTGGTAATCTTTTTCTGAATCTTAAGCGGTTGCCTGCTAAGGGAATTCACAAATGGATTAATTATTTATTTCGCATAAATTTATATTTTTGATCTGGTTATCACCATAAGACTCGTATTAGAAATGGATGGACCGATTTTCTTAATATAGTATTATAGTAGCTATCGCTAGATTTTTCTACAGTTCGAAAAGCAAATCGGAAAAAGTACAAAATAGAAAAACGTGAATAAAAAAGCAATATGTTTGAACTTATCGGGTCCTTCAAACACAAAAATCCGTAAAAAAAACTATACAAACAGTTCACGTGCCAAAATTTTCAATTCAATATTATGACCTAAAGTAACGGTTTGTATGGAACAACAAAAAGTGTCAACAAAGGCTTCTATAAGGCATTGATCGATACACATTGATAATTTACCGTAAGGACACAATCGCCGATGATGTTGCCATTTTAACTTACGTATACGTGCAAATTGATAAATGGGAGTCAATTGACAAATATGTATTCGGTGTTCCGTGATTATTAGATTTTGCTCTGATTCTCTTCTTTAGATCTTTAAATTTCCTGCAAATCTCGTCATATTAGCAAAAATTTTCGTCACGCTTGGTGCTATGTTTGACAATTTCTGTACAAAGATTAAGGGCCTTTCCAACAGTCCGAATAAGAATCCATGATTCTTCTTCCAACAGTCTAAAGCCTTCGTATAAGACGACAGTTCTTCTTCTTCTTGTTTCTTCAATCCCAGATGGATTCATCTTTATCATTGTCTACGTAAAGAGTATAGATAATATTAAACTGTACCTACGGATAGCACAGCGTGTTGCAATTTTTAAACGAAGCGATTTGGATCTTTTTACAGTCTTCAAGCTTTTTGATGTTTTGAAGAATGACGTGTTTATGATGTTTTACGTTTGTAAATTCAACTAAATCACCGGAGAAAATCTAACCGTGAGGTCATGCTTGATATAAAAAAATGACAATAGGTCTATGTGGTTCAGAAACTGGCCTACTATTATGTATCACCCTCACTCTCCATTGCAAACCACATGAACCAATAGGTATCGATTTCATCGATACAGTTACTTTCGATACCTATACGTCGACAACAGTTACTGCACGTTAGACCAATTGAAATACCGTTTGTGCTCTAAACCGATTTAAATCGATTTAATGCGAAATCGATTCGGTTAGATCGATGGTCAGTGGTCGGCGTTTAGTTGTCGAACGATTGATTTTAATTTTGAGGTAAATAGAACTTGTTGTTCGTACATTATAATGCGATCGTTGGTGTAAAGTGAATCGATGCGGTTCGGATAATTATTTCTCGTGAAAAATCGTATAATAATAATAACGTTGTAATCGAACGAATTTATAGAGAAGTAAACGTATAATAGAATCGACATAGAGATTAGACAAATGACGTTAAAACTTGTGTTAAACATTTCCCACTCGTTTGACTAGCATTTAAATGTACCATTTGTTGGAGGAAGTACCTTCAACCTCATACTTAAACCAATTCAGCCATTTCCACAAACGAGCAAGGCAACAAAAAACCCCAAGTAACAACACACATTTTCAAACGACCCAGGTTTCACATATCACGTTCACAATCTAGCTCAGTCACTCCTATCTAGCTTGGTACGCCCTCATTGTTCCTAAGCATGACCTCACCGATTTCCAAATGCTTCCATTTAACTAAAACCAGTTCTTTATTATATACCTCGTAGCCAAGGATGGTCGTTAGGATATTGTCCACAGCATTGTGGGCGGAGGTAGGTGTGTTACTCATATGGCATTCTCATGATCTAGATATTTGTCATGTTGGTTCAACCTTGGTAGATTAGAGAGGGTCTAGAATAATAGTTATTGCTACAAAAGCTACTTGAGACAAAGAGAATAGAACGAATGAAGTAGATACTATTTCAAGAAATACTGGAAATTAAACAGCTGTCCATAAATTTGGTTGACGGAATACCGGCTGAGCTTAAGAAACGCAGTCGGTCTTCCAACCACAGTGCTTACAATACAATCTTTATTTTAATTACACTAACAAAAGCAGTTTCGAAAGTAATGGAAGAATTTGTCTACCGGTCGTCTTAGCTGCAAAATCTAGATTAGATTTATAGAGAAGAATAATCAACAACCACCATGATTACCATTTTACGATCGTTAAGCAATTATCTTGATCTTAACAAAGACAATACAAATCGAGTCACGTATTTGGAAGAACATCTATTACATAATGGTGTTTAAACAGCAAATGAGCTAAACGGTTTACGCAACAAATTAATGTCTGTAACGGAGGGTGACGCAAAATGCATTGCAGTGCACAGGCCTCGTTCCGGGTGCCTGTGCACCGTAATATTTGTAAAACAGGAGTCAGTAAAGAATTTTCTGGTAGCAAGTTATAAGTTTAATATCTTGTTAATACCCAGGAGCTTATTTTTGGTTTTCTTGAGCCGATTTTCGACCTAAAGCACAGGTTTTTTCTTGTGGGGCATTGGCAGACAAGTGACTGTTCATCTGATGGTGAAGTGATCAACGTTGCTAAAAGACTTATCTCTTAAAGGAAGGTATCTTCTGACGTAAATCGGAAGGAGTATACGTACATCTTTTCTCAACTTTTCTGGTAATATAAGTCATAATGTTTTATGTTGAGTTTGTTGTAAAGTGAACTGTAATTGAAGCGCTTGCAGAGTGGAGACTCTTAAATTAGTAACATCTTTGTCGGTATTCCGATTCTTGGGGCTTTTGACTTGTAATCTTCTTCCTCTTCCTGATCATCCTGCCCTCAACTGCTGCTTAGGGTGGGCAGTTCGCCCCAATATGTCTTCTTTTTTCATTCTCCTCTATCATACGTCGTCACTTCACAAACTCCTTGCTCTTTCATAATTATCTGTCATATCATGAAGTTTCGAAAGTTGAAGGGTACCTAATTAACTGAAATGAGCTAGCTCTGTAACGTTTGCCAATAAATACTTGGTTACGCTTCAATTAAGAGCTAACAGAGATAATATCTGCTAAATTAAATTAAATGCCCGAGGTCAAGGGAATGTCTAAAGAAATGCAATTTGCCAATTTATTGATTGGGCTGTATGCCTGATATCTCTTAATTTCGATCTCGTTTAGATTAATATTAAATAGCTATCTACTTTGTCGTGTTAGACTATCCAACGTCATCATCATCATCAAGAAGGTGGATTGATGATTTCAAATAATTTGACTGCAAGGTGGGCACGGTGGTTGGGCAACCGGCTGCTGCGCAATGTGTCGCGGGTTCGATTCCCGCACGGAACAACTCTTTGTGTGATCTACAAATTGTTGTTCCGGGTCTGGGTGTCGTGTGTATGTGAACTTGTATGTTTGTAAATGCTCCCATGACACAGGAGAAAATCCTAGTGTGGTGCAACGTTTAAAAAAAAAACTTGCCAGGTTTCAAACCCTCCAACCTTTACCACCGGAGAATCAATACAATCCATAAATAATGAACATGTCTTTGAAATAATGAACAATAATGCGATTACGCGTCAAAGTAAGACGGCAAAAACATGCAAAAATTTTTAAAGACCGACATTCACCGCGCTACGTCGCACAAAAATTCGCTTCGTAAGTTGAATTTAACGTGACATTTCGCGGGCTTTTATCCTATTACCGCCTACGTATGTCCGCCATATTGTTCAAACGACGATGCTGCCTCTGTAATCTGGCTACTTACTAAGGAAACCACTTAAATTCACTACAAGATAATCCTTATAAGTCTGTTAGGAGTTCACGTTTTTGTAATACCTTATTAACCTTGACATCTAAGGCTGTATGTTATTATGTATGGCACATGCGTATCTATCGAAAAAAAAAAGAAATTGTAGCAGTACCATTCTTGTGTAAATATTTATGCGGACAACGGGTTACCGGGACTCCAGCTCGAAGTACGAGTACGAACAGTGCAGTCGCCTCACACAAGGCGGGACGAGTCAATGGATGATTTTCCAGTCTAAAAAAAAAACAATTCTGCTTTTGAAGACTAAAAATTAGGTTGCCCGACTTAGGGTAGTGGACCCAATCGAAATAACGAAATTGTTGTTAATTATTATGTTTTCGGCTAACTCACGTAACTATTTGACGAGGAACTCGACTAGTTTCAAGCCATGCTGGGGGCTTATATTCATGAGTATACCGCGACTCGCGACACGTCGACCGTCGCGTTGCTACTAATAACATACTTAAATAATTAATTTATTATACCTTACGAGAGTTTAAATAAAATTATTGCCTTTTTGGTCGTACAAATAACTTCCCTATTTAAAATGTTCATATTTCAAGTTGCACTGTTGCACACATCAGCAGCTATTGGAGTCAAATTCTGAAGTAAAGGAAAGTGTGTTAGATTTTATATAAGAAGGTAATAATTTATTTATTTATTTATTTATTACCATAATACCGCGGTACTTTATTTATACCGTTAATCACCAGTACCTAAATACTGAACGAGTTTTGAATCCACTTACTTACACAAAATAAATTAAATTATGCATATATGTAAGTACTCGTACTGTATGTAATGTATCGCATAATACGTACGCAATTCCAAAACGGCTGGAACCTCTACTTTTTTTTATTATTATTACATTTCAGTGCAGTTTTACACCATTAAAGCTAAGCTGGTTTGTATTGGTACTAACATTCGATTCATAAGTAATTTATAAACCTATTGATTCTACTTACAAATGACAATATAGATTTTGAATAAGTTACATATTTTGAGAGTAAAAGTAATCATCCCAACTAAACTAATAGATAGCAATGAGTCATGGACAGTAACAAGGATAAAAATGATTAATAAATACATACAGATTCATATAAATCACAGATTTCATAAGGTATTGAACCCTTAGGTCCTAATCTAAGCCTGAGATCTAGAATTCTAGACTAGACTGCAAGCTTGCCGCATGGCGTGACCCTAGTGACGTCAGACACACGTCACTGAGGTCAATCACCTCACCAACAACGTACACTAGGCATTTTGTTACAATTCGCGCGTTTTTTGTACCGCCAATCTAATCCGCCATTTTGATTCGGTGTTTTTAAAATGGTGATTGTTTAATTAAGTATAGGTTTTTTTCTTTCTTATTTTAGCTTTAGTTTGAAATAGGTTTAGGCTATGATTAAGGTTGTTGAACTCAAAATTCAAGACTTGGTGCAATTAAACGATTAATTTGGTTGTGTGGTCAATGGCTTCGTGTTTGGTCTAATGCTTTTTTGAATTACACTTAGTTTGGTTTCCTTCGAAAATATCTACAATAGATATTTATATGACTAAAGTAGAAGGTTTTCCCCCAATACCATATCTGTAGAGATACAGTTTTCCTAACTTACTTACCCGCTATTATTATTAAAACCTGACAGAACTAGGAAGTAAATTTTCCACCACAAACAGTTTGACTCACGTATTTCCTGAAAACGATGAATCAGTGCAGTTTGAAACTAAACAAAGCCTTTTTTTAGTTTTGCAGTCACGACTTTTTATTACGATTTAATAACACATCGATCGTAACAAACGACATCATTATTTTCTTGCGTCGCAAACCATAAACCGCGTAACCGTAGCTAATGTGTCTCCAGCCTTATAACAAAGACAATTTATACTTTTTTTACGTACTTTTAATTATGTATTAAGGCTAGTTCTCACATTAGCAATGATCTACCATAAATGTGTGGGTAACATGCAATGGCCCACTTTCTTTTTTTTATTTGGTCATTTATAATGGCCGAGATCATATTTTGCTGTTCTGTTCAAGGTTGAAAGTTTACAGGCAGTTGTTGAATAGTTTTTCAATTGTCTATTTGCGTTTCCTTGAGCTGTCAGCTGCTTTAGGATCCGTAGAGTAGATTGCCTTTTTAGATCAAGGATACGTTTATACGATAGATACGTATGAGAGACTTTTTAAACTAAGGAGACAGATATCCCGGAGCTGTGAATGAGGGTTACCGGGGCTCCAGTTCGAAGCAGGAGTAAGCAGTAAGAGTCTGACACTCACTCTCGTCTCGCCCAAGGCGGAAGAATTCATTGGATGATTTCCCTCCCCCCCAAAAGCCTACCTAGGTGTAGGTGCATACAATTTAACCACAGGCCTGAACAACACGAAATGCTTCTAAATCATTTCCTTGATTCATACGAAAACACAGTGGTTTACGATGCGCGTCGCAATCGTAAGACAATAGCGACAGAACTGAGCCTGACCTATTCGCGGAAACACCAGTCAATGCGGATACAAACCGTGGGAGATACGAAGACGAACATAGAGAAACAATGCTGTATGAGATGTTTGTGAAATATCCATATTTTGAATTTAATATCTCGATTGAAAAGATTTTCTATGAGCGTTTTAGGAACCGTAGTATTAGTATATCTGTGGGTTTATTTTTATTTTTCTCAAAGGAGACGTTTCTCTACTTTTAGTTTGTGCAGAGGCTGAGTCGACTACTGGACTTAACTAATCTGTATTACCTAATACTTAAACTAGATATTACATATCGTTATAAAAAAATTAACTTGGCTTAAAATAGAAAATCCCAGAATCAAATTGTTGACAAATTCTACCATTATAAGACGATTGTCTCATTGACAAACAACAAAATAAAAAATACCTTAACATCAAAACATCGACCCTTCTAGCACCAACCTGTATAAAAAGAACATTACTAACTACAAATTATTCTGTTCCAGCTGTCAGTAGCAGAAGTAGAACTTCGTGCAGCCGCCGAGGAGCGTGACAAGCTGCTGAATGATGCCAACTACAGCAGCTTGCAGAACGATGAGGCGGTCACCAAGGCTCGGCAGGAGAGAGACGAGGCCATTGAGAGGAAGAAGGCTGCTGAGGTAAGGAAACCAAAATAAATATCAATTGAGAACATGCTATTGACGAAGATTTAGCTGATCTGTGTGACTTTTGATTATACGACCATACAAAAGTGCGACAAACAGGCCAAGAAATACTAAATAGTTTCTAGAAATTGGGCGATGACAGAAAGCGCCCAGAATGGACATAAAAGCATTAGTAATGGTGATATCTCTTACGGAAATGGCTATTCCATGCAGAAGTGTTCGCCAAGAACGAATAGATATATATAAATAAATAAATAAACGAATATGCCAATGTTACCATTACCATCAACAGCCTATAAATGCCCACTGCTGAGCAAAGCCTCTTCTCACACGGAGAAGGCTTGAGTATTAATCACCACGCTTGCTCAATGCGGGTTGGCGATTACCAACTTATAATTAGAAATTATAAGCCCAGGTTTCCTCACGATGTTGTCCTTCACCAATTTATTTTTTCATTCAGGCCAATATTAATGAATATATTATCACAAGCGTTTATAAATAAGAATGGGAAATCAACATATGTTCCTAATGTTCCAGGTGGCTCTAGCCAAGACCAGGGTGGAGCTGATGCAGGCCAACAGTCAGCTGTACGAAGCTGTGCGCCAGAAGGTGGACCTTGGGCAACAACTTGAACAGTGGCAGGTATGTAGTCGACAAGATAAAAAGAATTTAGAATTAAAATAGTCGGGTAAAATGGATGAAATATTATTAGACTCGTAAAGAGAAATGTTGTTTTAGCTCCAATGACTGTATTCAAGGTTAAAGGCATACCAAAACAATTATTAGGAATATAGAAACGATGCTAAATTAAAACTGTATGAAAAGAAATCTTCAAAAATCTGATCCTATCTAGAAACATTACATTATCCATGAAATGAGATATGAAATGAATATGATATCTACTAAGCTACTGTCTAACTTACTTTATATAGGTATTAAGATGACAGAGAGCAAAAAATAAACGAAAGATTATTATCACAAATATTTTATTTCAACAATAAAAAGTTCAGTGTTTGTTACCGCTATCACGTTTCTTTCTGCATGATAAAAATACCCAAGGAAATAAATAAAAGAAATGCCGACAGATGTTAGAGGTCTTTTTACGAAAAAATATTCGGTTTCAACTCTCGTGATTCATAGCTAGAATTTTATTAAGTTTTACTTTCCAAAATCAGTTTCGCTCTACTAATTCCTAATCATAAGTACTGAATCTGAATTTATACAAGATTAACGTGAAGTATTTAAGCTTCGTAAAAGGCTTGACTAATTTTAAAAAGCCGTTGAAACACTAACCAACATGTTTAAATTGTGGAACTAAATGGAATTGTGTTGTGATGTTTTCAAGTTGAAGGTCTTTACTTCATTCACAATTTCAATGTCATTTTTCTGGTCCTTCAGTAGGTACTTAGGTACTAAGGACCAGAAGGGTCCATTGATTCCTCTTGAATGCACAAAGATTTCTCGATAGGTGTAGTCACAAGTAGGTCTTACTTAATTCTTTGTAATATTTACAGATGGACATGCAGGAACTCATCGACGAGCAGATGAAACACAAGCTGACCACACAAGAGAAGCGAAGGAAGCTTCCAGAACAGCCTCCACCCACCAGAACCTCTCGACTTCTCGGATTTTTTCACCGGTGATCTGTTGTATCCCACTCTTGGTGCGCCTCTATGAAGCCATAGACCACTCTACCATATCAACTCTCTACCTTGTTATCATCAAGTATTACTATCCATCAACATTACCAGCTGCCTACAGTTTATTTTTAATACTTTTGTACAAAAATCTATCGTTATCAAAATTCATAGCAGCGACCGCCATCTTGATTCACCGTACGGACGCGTTCGCAATCACCGAGTTTTTAGGTTATTTTTTAATTTTATTTTATAAACCGTGTGATGTTTATACTATCGCAGTGATAGTTAGTGTCGTAGTTAGATTGTTTATAGTTAGTTTACGTTTAATTTTTAATGTTTTATTGTGTCTTTTTAGTTTTTCACTGTAAAATGGCTGGTAAATTTTGGCATTTGGCAATTAATTACTTGATAGGGCGGATTTAGTACAACAGATAAGTTTAAACGGATGGAAATCCAAGAGAATTATCATCTTTTGTCCGTTTCACGATGACTAACGATAGAAATATAAATACGATTCGATTAGAAACGAAAATGTAAACTAACGTTAGTAGATTTAAGTCATGTAATCCGCCATCTTTAATACGTCAGCCATTTTAAAACCTAATCTAACCTATCCATTGCTTTATTTGTAAATAACGTTTTAATAATTGAGATTACCTTAACTATGTATGTATAGTTGGTACTTATATACGTAAATCTTGGTTTTAAGTGAGATGTTTGGTGCACCTAAAGTGTAAAATTAATTTTACCGCCTGTTTTTACCACGGTAACTATGAATTTGATAGTGTTGTCATTCGTTATACATTTTTTAAAGGCTGAGTAATATCAAGGTACTAAAAAGGAAAAGATTGCCAAAAGGACCATTGAAGAATCATTGGTCTAGAGAGACAGAAGGATTAAATTCCTTATGTAGGAACAAAGCATTATAATTAGATTTTTCTATTAGAAAAAATCTTAATTGATAGTACAGAATTGGTGATAGACAGTGAAGCATTGCATTCCCAATTTTTGTTTTTTTTTTTGGGAATTATTTGCTTTCAAATTGGTTCACACTGAATTTGTTCGTGGTAGACAGAAGGTCACACCCAATTTAATATTTAATATCTAATGCTTGTGCCTTAATTTAGCTTTATATTAATAAAATATCATCCTGAAACATAATGATAAATTTCATTATACCCAACTTGCATTGTGCAGTTCAGTAAAAACGTAATCAAATCGAAAACCACGTTATATGCCTTTGTGGGTAAATTATAAAATGCGCTTAAAATAACTGCTTTCAAGAAAATAATAATTTTACCTTCAAAAATGTTATTACTCAGTCTTTACATCAAATCAAAATTAGTTAATATATTACGACGTGGTAAAACAGGCCCTCTAGATTATTAGAAAAAATAGATTGCTAAATAATGAAGAACATTAATAGCCATATTATTTACATTACGTTTATTGAATGCTGGTAGGCTCCACTGACTAAAGTCTCGAGTCACTTTGACCGGTTAGTGTTGATAATGTCTGGCTTACTTCTTTGGTCCATACCCAACTGTATTAAAATTGAGCAATCAGTATTTGATACATGTAATATTGATCGCTTATATACCCTCTAATAGCTACTAAACAAAATACTTCAACGACGACCGACGTAAAACAACGCTTGCATTGTGTCTCGCCGTGTGAGTGAGTTTGCCGGAGGCCTAACTATCCCCCCTCCCCTCCACAATCTCCCAATTCCCGACATTCCTCAAATTCCTAAGCCCCAAAAGGCCGGCAACGCACTTGTAGCGCCTCTGGTGTTCCAGGTGTCCAAAGCGACGCCGATTGCTTACCATCAGGTGATCCGTCTACTCGTTTACCTGTTTATCCCATAAAAAATATTAGAATGGTGATGGTGATGATGTGATGATGGTGTGTTATATGATAGTAGGGTGGCAATTCTACAAGATGTAACTCTTTGTGATCACATGATACATCAGTGCTGTTAACGTTGAAGTAATAAAGAAGTTTTTAATATTTCTATGGCTGGTATTCAATGTAGTCAAATCAGAATGGACTTCTAATTATGACGGTATGGGTAAAGTAGCCAGACAGTATCACTTTCCCCGGTCATTGTCGACAGTACCCAGTAGCGTAAAAAACGCGATTTGATCATGATCTGGTGGAATATTTAGAATAATTTTTGTGTGTAGAAAAAAATTCACGAATTTTTAGTAAAATATTAAACCTACCTATCACATAATTTAAATTAAATATAATGTATGTATGCATTGTTTTGCAATAGAAGTAGTTGGTACTCAAATAAAGTTCTGTGCCTTAAAAGTACCTGGCCTTGTAAAGTGCCTTTTTCTATAGAAAATGTCAATTGTATCTATTAATGAGAAAATAAATATACATAATTATGTAATACTGATACAGCCTTAACATATAACTTGGTAGATTTTCACACCGATACTTTTAAAGAAAACTTGGCTTGAAAATATAAAAGGTATCCAATTTCAAAATTGGGTGCACGGCAGTGAACTCGCCAAGTTCAAAAATAGTTTTCTTTGTTTGTTTTTATACTCGAGACTCGTGAGCATATTCACCTGAATAATCAAGATTCAACGCTCTCTGTAATGCATTTGAGTAAAATATAAAATAAATGTGTGAAAAATCTTACCATACTGATAGTACCAATAAGAATAGATTCAAGACAGAAATAATATATTTAATATTATTATCTTTTTTTTACAAACATGCTCAAGTTTTAAAGTAATATATTGCTCATGTTTTACCTTTATATTCATTTTCAAATCATACAGATAATTAAAAATTTTGAGTCAATCGTGATTTAACAATACCTTAAAAATCTGTTGAGATAATGAAATCTAAATTTAAAAATTACGTTTTCTCAGTTCAGTTCTTAATCCAGATTATATTCAAATTATAATGTGCAATGAAATATAATTTATTAATTTAATGATTTATGACATTATCAATGAAATTATGTGAATAAAATAATTACAATAAATTGTAATTGAATTGTTTGAAAGCATTGTTTGAGTTATTTATTTGTCTTTAAATTGTAAAATAATGGTAAAGATACATTTCTTACTAAATATTCTTTTACTTAGTACCATGCATACCTACTAGGGGCGTTAGCATCGCTCCAACTCCAATCTTTCGTAAGAATTATTTTTACCATTTTTCTATATTCTATGACAAAATTATCGGTTAATATTTAACAATGCAATAGAAATAATGCAAAAATAATTTAAATAACAGCAATATGTATTTATATGTATATAGTTGCACGATTTTAACTTTGTACTTTGTGTTATTAATTATAATAAGGTTCAAAATACCTTAAATAAATTTGTCACTTATTCGGAGATATTATGGTACTTAATTTATTTTTAAGACTGAACTAATTATTGAATTAAAATTATTGATTTTATATAATTTTTGCTGTACTTACAAGAAATAAAATTTGCAAAACATTATTAATTTTAACAATGATTTTCTGTATTTTAATTTTATTTTCTATTTAGCACAAACACTGTTATGGCGAGTATAACTTCTTAGTCATTCCATTTTTCTATGAATTATTTGATATTATTACATTACAAAGAGACGTTCATTGCATAATTTATAAAAAATATCTTTTTAAAATTGAACTCCTTTCCTGTCATTTTCTTTTCAAAACAATATTTTAAGCAATTTATTTGACTTTCTTAAACAACAATCTCATTTTTATCGTTTAAAAATGATAAATTGTTTTACAAGAAATAAAATAAAATGTGTAGGTAACAACCAAAACATAGAACTTGGCTAGTTTTTTACTTTTTGTTTTTTCCTTATTTAAGTATAGCCTAAAAGAATTATTCAGTTTTATTCTTGTAATGTAATAAATACAAATGAATTGTTTATGTAAATTAACACATATTTTTACGTCATGAACCAATCCATCGTTCAGTTCAATTTGTACTTACAGAAACAATTTCCTAAGTACTATATAATCGTAATTTATAAGATCTTAATAGTGACTAGATATACCTATCATTATAAATAATTAATTATGTTTATTGAATTAATAAATAAAGAATGAGTTTAAACTGTGACAGCATTTTTATTTGAAACTCTGTTACGTCCTAACCTAACTACGTACCTACCTTTTCTACATAAATTAATGGGTACCTATATTTTCTCACCCGATGTCGCTAGTGTGAGCCTTTCAATTTTCGTCCAATAAGAAATTACCTGCCTGCCAGAAAGACTGCCTCGTTGACCGAGTGGTCGCAAGCGCAACTGCCGGGCAAGGGGTCTCGGGTTCGATTCCCGGGTCGGGCAAAGTATTACTGGGTTTTCAAAAATCTCAGTAGTAGCACGGAGTCTGGAATTGTGCCCGGTATATGGTAATAGGCTCACCCCCTATTACATGGGACTCATAACATAAATAGTGAAAAAGTGGGTGTTACATTGTACAGTGGCATAATGTGCACCTCTGCCTACCCCTTCGGGGATAAAAGGCATGATGTTATGTTATGTTAAGAAATTACCAAGTGTCACATAATTGGACGTTCAAAATTTGGCAGCTGCGGTGATTGGATCCAAAAAACTCTTGCTATATTTACGCTATTATGGTGACCAGAAAAACGGTCCTTTCATGCGGCTACTTAGAAGGCACTGTCCATCCACTAGGTGAATGATCGGCTTGATAAGGGTCGTAAGAAGTCGCTGGATCCAGGTTGCTTCCAAACGGCTTTTCTAGAAGTTATTGAGGGAGATCTATATTCAGCAGTGGGGCGTTTTATAACAGACATGATGATGATGATGATGATTTAGAAGCATCCTAAAGTTGTTAGTTTGTACAGTCTTAAAGAAAATAGCACTATTCTTAAGCCGGTTGCAGATGCAGACCAATAGCGAAGCGAAGTTAGTTAAGCCTAGTTCGCATAGCCGACGCAGTTTTCTAAATTTGTCAAATACTTTGCGGTCTGAATAGGTACAAGTATTAAAAACTGCGTTGGCTATGCGAACTAGTCCTAAACTAACTTAACAGAACTCTTGGTAAGTACTTACCAAATAATCATATAAAAAACATTAGCATTAATTTTCATTAATTAAAACGTTATAAATAGGTACCATCATTCTTCTCTCAACCTCTTCACTAAGATCGAAGAAATACAAAAAGAAATAAAAACGTATTTCAAAAAATTCTGTCAAAAACGTCAAGAGAGTAAACGTCTTTGTCCACTGCATTGTGTAGAGGAGAAATATTTGTTTACTAGACATTTTGTTTATTATCCTTTTGTTGTAAAGTCCTATGTTGTGATCTATTAACCGCAATGCCTCCTCCAGGAGAAAAGAAGCCTAACCAGGTGGAACAAAAAGTGGTGGACCCTGAAGCAGAACTCAGTAATGCTGTGAGAATTGTAAGTAACCCCCCCCCCCCTCTTATCCATATCTTTAAAAGGATGAGTGTAGTTTTGCTTCTTTTTCTATCACATCAGCAGCTTATCTATAAGTGGCCACTGCTGACCAAAAGCCTCTTCTTCTTACATGGATAAGGTTTGAGCATTAATCACCACACATGCTCAATGCAGGTTGGCGATTTCAAACTTAACATCACGCCTTTTATCCCCGAAGGGATAGACAGAGGTGCACATTACGGCACTTAATGCCACTATATAATGTAACACTCACTTTCACTATTTATGTTATTAGTCCCATGTAATAGGGGGTGAGCCTATTGCAATATACCGGGCACATTTCCAGACTCCGTGCTACTACTGAGATTTTTTGTATAAAACTCTGTAATATTTCCCTATTGAGATTTCAAACTTATAATTATAAATTATAAGTCCAGGTTTCCTCACGATGTTCTCCTTACCGTTTGTCAGTGATGTCTAAATAATCTTAGAAAGTACATATAACTCGGAAAAAGTTACATTGGTACTTGCTGTTGGTTGGCTTCTAACCCGCACCCTCATGTATGAGAAGTCTTAGACCTCCGAGCCACCACGACATTCTCGTTTACCTTACACGTTTAGCTAACTACTTTTGCCAAGCAGCTACTATTGTCGAGTTAGGTATGTTGTCATATTGTAACAGGGGCGGATATTTTGTTAAGATAAATTTTACGAGAGTGCAGCCATGTCTCATTAAATAGGCGAAGAATGTGAAGATAGAACAATTCTAAACTCTGAGGTCTTAGTACGGGTTTGTTTTACGCATAAAGTACTCGTAACGAGGACGCGTTCGGGGCTCTGATTGGTTGGTTCATTTTCGCCGGCCAATCAGATTGCCAAACGTGTCCTCGTTTCGAATACTTTAAACGTAAATCAAACTCGTACTAAGGCCTCTGTTCCAGTAAAATATCTATAGTACCATGTCACCGTGATCCCAAGCCTCAATAGCTCGGCAATCGTAGGTACTAGCGACAAACGAGTTGGCCCAATTAACCTTCCCATTTCCCAATGTTATCCGTTGTTCCTTCCAGTACTTGAAGCTCGCGCCGCAATGCACCGTGGCGAAGAGAGCTGGTGGTATACCGCAGCTCGCTCCTCAAGAGAAGCAGCTCAGCATCCTCGCGCACGAACTTCATGAGACGCTGTTATGCATCAATGTTAGTTTCTCTCCATCTTTGAGACAGATTAGACCCCCAGTTAAATAGAAGAAAATCGAACACAACAAAATGTTAAGAAGAAGGATCAACTGATTTTTACCGCGATAAAGGAACTATTACGAAAGTAGGTATTGTGTTACGAGTCTTGCCAATGCAGAGAATATCTTTGTTAATATTTTCTAGTATAAATTATGTCATTACGTATCTACTTAGGCTTCTTTTAATGAACGTCAACCATCTCCATCTAGGATCAAAAAAGTTTGTGAATTAATAAAATTTAATCTATCCTCAAATTTCCTTACGATTACTGGTAAATTCCACATCTATCTCCCTCTTACATCTAGCTTGCAAGGAAAGGACAGCATGCAGTCCGCGACGCCAATGTCAAAAGTGGGACCCGCAAGTCTATAGTGGAGTATGAACAGTTGGAGTCAGTGCTCAGGGATGAAAGGGCGCAGCAAGCTGAACTAGACTGCCTCAACTATCTAGCACAGAAGAATGTCATTGAACTCTCCAAGAAAGTACCCACTGAAGCTGACGTGAGTATCAAAGGAAAATAAATTTAATGTCTATTACAAAAACGTCTTTTTTTATTGAAGTAAATAGTTATATTATATTTCATAATTTTCTTTTTTATTAAATGCTTAATAGTGATGATCATACTTTTTGCCACAAAACTCCAACTAGTTCAATGAGTCAACTAAGATAAGTTCCTAACTTTCAATTCAATTTGGGAATCAGCTCGATCACATTTTCGCCCGTCATTGGTCGAGATTATTCTCACAACGAATGACATGATGGAATTCACTTTGATCTTTCGAATTGAAAGTTACAAAATAGCCCAACACCAGAAGAACCTAATCAATCCAACACTACTAGGGTGTGATTAATCGCAAAACTATCTTCTCAAAATGCTTATCATGCAATGTATATAATGACACCAACAATGATATTTTTCACAATCAAAATTTATGTATATAAATAAAGATGAACTTCCGTCCGTTATTCTCGCTAAAACTCGAGAACGACTGAACCGATTTGGTTAATTGTAGTCTGTGTTCATGGACGTCCAGGGAAAGTCTAATAGGTGAAAAACAAAAATTTTAGGCCGCACGATGTTTGCCGGGTCAGCTAGTTGCAAATTTTTAAAAAGGTGCTAGCATTTATAACCATCAAATTACCCAGGAACTAGGCATGATTGAGAATGCCAACAATCGTCTTCGACGTATGGAGAACAGACTTGACCTCGCCACGAAGAGGTTCTGTGTAGTCAACACGGATAACAGGAAAGTGCGAGAAGAAATACACAGGCTTCTTGTGGAAAGGTAAGTCTACAGCTCCACTGAAATCGTTTTTTATAAATTAATACATTAAACGCCATGGGAGTCACCGGTGACCGACGTTTTACCTTCAACAGTTTTCTATTGGCACTTTGGCAGTCAAAGCCTTATTGATCTCACATTAAAACGGGAAGGCGTATTTACAACATTATCATCATCATCATCACCAGTGCACTGTTGAACTAAATAATATGGGTCTCGTGAGCCTCTTCTACGTAAAAGGACGGGTTTGTCGTTTTTCCACACTCATACGCAAGTTAGAACTCTGTCAGCGTACTTAAAGAGCACATAAGATATATTTTTTTATCTCAGTAATAACGTGAGGGCGAAGCTGCTAGCAGAAGGTAATAACGCAACAACACTTCACTTATGATGGTAACTTTTCTTGATTTAATACACAGAAACGGCTTCAACATCCAATGGAATCGCACTATTGGCAAGCTGGTCAAAGGCAAGATGTACCTGATGGATATATTTGAAATAGCCTCCGTGGCATTCGCAGATAGAGACGAATGCTGTCGCAAACTAGAAGCTCTCAAGTGGAAAGGACTCTTTCAGCTAAATAGGGACATTTCTGTAAGTATGTATTTGTAGCTTAGTTGGAACACCACAGTTATTAAAATAAAAATAGCAATACCTTAATCATAGAACATGTGAATCTATCGGTATGCGGTAAACTGATAGCCCACTAATTTCCTGCTGTTTACAGGAGATGCAAGCTTTTGAAGGTGAACTGAACCACCTCGCGAAGCTCGAAGAGTTTCTGCGAGTGAAAGGTTCACGTAGGATCTGCGAGGCTGATGAGAAGGAGGAGATGAAGAGGCAGGAAGAGATACAAGCTTGTGAACAGGATATTGCTAAACATGATGCCTTGCTTGATGAGATATTTGTGAGTATATCAACACCAGTCATCATCATCATCACCAACAGTCTGTGGTAGTCCACTAGACTAGGTCTTCTCTATAAAATCCATAATCTCCACACCCTTTGCTGAGAACAGCAGGTGCATTGCAGATCGCTGGTTGAAAGTTCTGGTATATCAGATAACGTTACTGTTCAGTGACTATCAAATGTAATAGTCCCTTGGTCGATTCTTATTACATTCGCAAGAAGAGCCGGGATGGTGATTAATTGTTCCAGTCTGCTGTCACTATACGGGTTAAGTTATGGTATTGTAAATTGCACTAAAAAAATTGTCAATAGCTTCTACGATTTTCTAAAATAAAAATATAACAAAATGTTTGTTCCTAGGCCTACGCTGGTACCGAGAGAGTGCCACTCATCATTAATCGCTTCCAAATCGGGGAGATCGAGAACTTCTCCTGTTTCATACTGCTTTGCCAAGTGCTGCAGGAGTCTATCATTCTCAGGAGAGAAATGGATGTGATGAAGCAGAGAATCTGTAAGTTCTAACTTCCTTTTCATCCTGTACACCTGAGTGAAGGTCTTTTTCAAATCAAGCCATTTAGCCGGTCTTTTACTGCGGTTATTCACTTCTTTCAAGTGATTTTGATGAATTCTTTAATTACATTATAGTAGCTACGTTTGCTTATCAAAACCTAATTTATATTAGGTTACCGTATTTTTATAGGTACGATAGGAACAGTACTTTCCGATATATCTTGGGTTTAAATTCTAGTTGACCAGCGGGATTTAAATGAAGCTCGAGAGGAGCAACAGGATAAAAGAATAGCAAACATGACGCAGCGATTGGCAGAACTTCGTGCCAGTACACAGTTGAAACAAGAACTCAACAATCAAGCTGATGCTACCACTCTCAAGGTGCTGAAGGGAATCGACGAACTTGTCAAGTAAGACGAAAATAATTTGATAACTCAGCCTTTAATTAAATTGTTGGTCTGTGTAAATAGTGACATTCGGCTGATCTAGGTAGATGCAGTGCAGCCCCTATAAGTAATTGGGAAACGACTAGGAGAAAGAAAGATATCCATAAACTATCCCCTAATGGGGCATAGATTATAATGACAAAGGATAAACAAAGACAAGTAGGTAGAAGGGAATAAGAGCGACCAAATAAAAGTTAAATATTTTTAAAAAGTTATAATTATAGGTAACACATTTTAACGTCCTAGACTACACTCACAGTAGCGCGGTTGACCTAGTGGTGCACTAGCTATGTCCACCCGGTCTAAATCAGGAATTTGGGCTGAAAACCAACAAATTGGGCTAGATCCGAAGATCACGATTATATCACCACCATGAGTCTAGACTAAATCTGCACTGAATTAAAAAAAAAAAGATTATTTATAGCAAATAATTGCTGTAATAAGCACTATTAAACTGTCAAACACCAAGCGGTCACCGGTGACCGCAACCTATTGACCCTATTGTTCTATAATTGTGTCTACAAAACGGGTACTCGACGAGTTAATATGTTAATGTCAGATAGGGGCAATAAACCCTCTACGGCACCCCTGTTTGGGCGCCGAACCTGATGTGGTGGCCCACTCGGGCGCTGCTCATGGCACAGAGGGTCATGGCGATCCGAATGATCCGCGGATACCGCACGATTTCCGCGGAGTCGGCGAACCTCCTCCAAGGAGGCGGGACGCATGAGGCAGCGAAGCGCTGCCTCCTCGCAACCCAGCCATCGCGAAGGACACACCGGGCGTCGGGGTTCGCGGGACGATCTCTGGCCACCGTAAGCGCGGGCCTGCGGACAGTGAGTTGGGTGGCTCCCTGTCCGACCAGAAACAGACCCGAGCGTACTGCGCCGAGCGTTCCGCGCGCGCCTCAAAGAGCCATCAAACCACCATAGATGGGGCCCAACAGGGCCGATGCCGATTCGGAGTCGCGGAGAACCTAACGGGTAACCGGGGCTCCGGCTCGACGTGCAGGAGAAGGAACGGGGTGGTTTTTAGTCAGTAAGAATCTGACCCTCCCGCCTCACCCAGGCGGGAGCAGTCACCAGTCATTCGACGAACTTCGCCCATTAAAAAAAAAGTGGGCAATAAAGAAAGAGTCTAGTTGTCTAGGCACATGAAGCGTTTCCTTTTTTTTTACCACACTTTTCGGTTTTAGAGAAACTAACGACCGTAATTTACACTCTTAAGTAGGTTGAATGGTGACTTTAAAAGCTAAGAAGACCGAAAAGATTTTAATGGTGACACAGTTCTATTAAATAAAATGTGTTTTAAACTTTCAGATTAGCGAAATGTGACTGTAATTCATTAATGTCACTCCTCGGCAACCACACTGAGGTGACCAAGTGGAACGTCTCCAAGTTCCTGGGGATCTTGGAGATGGAAGTCAAAAGTCTTATACAAGTTGCTTACGGGTCTGTTAAGGTTTGTGATTGTTATAGATTTAAATATTTAGCACCTAATTCAGGTAATTACCTAGTGCTGTTTAAAATTAAAAATAAGTTGATTATATACACATAGATATTTTAAACGTCAATTTTTGTTAATCGGTTTCCATTCACGAAGCCCAATTTCGTCACTAAATGTGACAGCAAGATACAAGATTTTGAGTAAATATCTGCATTGAGCAAACTCACATCGTATATTAATTCATCAATAAAAGCCAGAAGACGTACATTGCTTGCTGGAAAGGCCTCTTCTTTTTACATAGGTGTTTATGGCAAAAGCATAGTTAATTAACTACCAAAGATTATATTTCTTTTAGCCTCCACCCCCAACGCCTAAAGGACGCAAAGGTCCAGCAGCACCTCCCACCACTAAACTTGTGGCTGACCCATACGTTGAAATCATACGACCGAACAGGATTGAAAAGCTTGTACCTTACCAACCTTGTGCATAGTAAGTACCACATTTTATACTTCTTCATTCTGGCCACTCGTAATCTTTCAATATTCAACTGGAATTCCGTTCAATTAATAGGTAACTTGCTATTTTCGCGCGCTACCATTTTTTTACTATGGCAACACTGCAGGTGCGAGTTTCTGTAAAACGGTCACAGGAGAATGAGTAAATGGCCATACTGTATTGAAATTTAAGAATAATATGATCCATTAATTAATTTATTTACAATACCTTTTATAAACTTGCCTATCTTCAACTTACCAACTTAACTGTCCAAGAAGTCACATACGACTCACGATAAACTTTTAGAATAAGTTCATGAGTCACATGTGACTCATTTTTGGTACAAGTTTGGGGTGTATTTTTGATATGAACGTGGCACCAATTTCTAAAAAAACTACGTGGACGTGTAGCAAAAAACCTGACCTTTAAGAAAACAATGGGCGTGGAGTAATTGTAAATTTTATTGTTAACAACTTAACCTGTCCCTAGACAGGTTAAGTTGTTAAATTTGCGAATCTTACATATGAAATTTTCTTTTTATTTTTCAAGTTGCGTGGAGGATTACATAATGAACCTGGTGTTCGAGACGCCAGCAGTACCTGCCACAAAGGAATACGTCGAATCTATATTCCATCTCGAAGATATAAACACGAAATTCGAGATCTATACACTTACTATACCAGCGTAAGTTTCAAGCTTCTTGTTTTAAGTTTCAAGCGTAAGTTTCACACTAAACTCCTATATTGGATAGTAGTTAAGTGTGTATAAACTAATAATATTATTGTTATACTTTCATTGTTTTTCTAAACTTATATTTTGTTACATTATTTATTGTTTACTTACAAACCCTTTTATTAATTTTCAGAAAACGTCATCCGTTCCGAGGAAAGAAAGACTGAATATGTAATTGTCAGTAATTTGTTTCAATCAATATTAGGTCATATTTATTTAAAGCGGATATAATATCATAGCTAAGCCGTTATAAGTTAAAGTTGTGATATTACTTTTTGGCGCATATTATATTTATAACTTATTCTGAATTTTTCGTCAATTTATTGTAAAAAGTGATAAATAAAATACTTATACCTGGTTAAACATTCAAATTCTGGTTTTATTTCAAATGGTGATAAAAATGCTACGAACCTACTATGATAAAATTATTTTTAATAAGAATGTATTATGAAAAATTATGCACAAAATGATTATTAAAAAAAACGTCAAAGACGTTTAAATGTGGGAAAGCCATGCTGCGGCACAAATGGGCCGTCTCGACCGGAGTGATACCACGGCCTCACAGAAAACCGACGTGAAACAACGCTTTCGTCATGTGAGTGAGGTTACAGGAGGCCCAATTACCCCCGAGTCCCCGTCTTCCGAATCCCCGAATCCTCCACAATCCTCAAATTCACAATTCCCAAAAGGCCGGCACTTGTAACGCCTTGGTGTTTCTAAAGTCTGGTCGTTCATCGGCTTATGCCATAAAATAAAAGACGTTCAATAAAAGGCGGACGTAATGTTACTTAGAAATAATTGTACCCCCAAAAATTTTAGTGATATACAGTATGTGGCACGGACTTATACAATAAATGAACTATAATGTAGTATTATTACACAGAAGTATAACACGACCAAAGATTTAGACGAAAACCTTAAATTAAAAAAGTGAAATTTTCAAACAAAACAAATAATAAAATAGATTCAAGAAAGTATAACACTCTGTGTAACAACGTACCTTGACCTCAGAAGAGCGGCAACGTCGCATACGTTATGGAAGGCACGGGTGACGCGGCTTGGTAGTAACACTGCAGTGACGGGGCTCATTCACTCTTTGAACTCGTTCGTCGCGCATTGGAGTGCATTGACCTGCGTCAATGAACTTAAAGAGTGTTTACGTTTTCTCAAAGAGAAAAATGCACTTTTTGGCTTAACTACTGGGCCGATTTTGCTAATTTTTTGTACATTGTCAGTATAGACGATACCAAGTATGTTGCATAAATAAATGTATAAGAGTTTTCTACATACGGTATAAGCGTGTACTTGGAACATCGCAATGTATGAAGTGTAATGACAGGCCATGTCACGCGACAGATGTACTTTGTGTGAATGTATTCTGCGTATAAGTCTGTAGTAGCCAGGTGCCAAAGTCATTGTTTCAAGAGACGATGTCCGCCTTTTATTCAACGTCGCGTTGGTTAAATATAACTGACTAACTGACTAACTCAACTGCACGGTTGTTGCGATGGCTGAGCAACCGGCTGCCGTGAAGCGAGACGCGGGTTCGATTCCCACACGGAACAACACTTTGTGTAATCTATAAATTGTTGTTTCGGGTCTGAGTGTCATGTGTATGTGAATTTGTATGTTTGTTAATGGCACAGGAGAAAATCCTAGTGTGGGGCAAAGTTTTAATAAAAAAATAACTATACAAAACCTATCTTTCCTCTAGACCCCAAAGAGTATAAGTGAACGGGGAAAGGGAACTAGACGCTCATTGATCGTTGTCTCAATTCTCAATCAATAATAGGAAATAAAATACAAATACAATTTATAATTTTTTCTTAGAGAGTTTTTATAGGGTGAATTTGGTGAAATAGTAGTTTTTTTTTCATTTATGGGCAACATTTGTTATGTTTTATATTATGGCAACATTTTAAATTTTGTATATGGCAACATTCAAAATTTACTGTGTTGTAAGTTTATGAAAAGTACCATAATACTAGTAAAAATATTAATAGTAATTTTTTTGTAACAAAATATTTTTTTTTTATAATTTTGGTTTATGCTACCTACCTCGGTATAATATAATATTTGAAAAATGTGCTATGCAATAATGTTAAAAACAAAATATTTTAATATCAGTGAACTTTTTTAAACTTAATTTACTCATGGAAATGTCTGAATATTTAATCATTGTTATTAGCTTATATGAAATTCCACTATCGCATTAATTATTATTTTACACAATCATTAATTATAATTGAATTACGATTTTGTTCATTTCTTTTGAATTCTATTTTATTTACCACATTTTTAGGTAGATTGAATTTATATGCTGGGAACACTGATGATGTGTTTCTCTTGTTTGTGTGTGTGAGTGATGTCTCCGCCATTGAAATTCATTTTAGCCGAGAATTGAAATAGGTTGTACCTTTCACAAATCGGCAAATATCTTCATAATCTTCCTTTCTTTGCCTGTTCTATTTAGCTATATTTCGTGCACAATAATTATATCAAATGGCAGACAGAGACACAGATGAGTTAAACATCGATAACGTAATAAAAAAATTATTAAAAGGTAAATGTTGATACGGTTTAAAATAAACAAAGTTACAAGTGTTCCGCCCTAAACTCAGTGAAACATAACAAAATTGGTGTATAATAGTGATTAATGTGTGAATAAGTTGTGGTTTTTACGTGTTAGTGATATGTTTACGTTTGTTTTCAGTTCGGGGCGAAAAGCCTGGTATGAATGTACAGTTAACGGAAATAGAGATCAAAGGGCTATGCTTGAAATCGCGGGAAATATTCTTGTCACAACCAATATTACTCGAATTGGAAGCGCCGCTTAAAATTTGCGGTAAGTACAAGTTTGTACGCCTATTTCTAACCAATACACATACTTTCGAATGCAACCTTCTACTTTCGAAAAGATGAAACTGCATTTTTAAGCGTTTATGTCATTGTTGAACCCTTATAACATCGCTAAAAAAATATAACGTGAAGGTATTTTGTTGAATGCTCGCTAATTACCCACTATTGACAACTTTCCTTGATTTAAATCTTGGATGCGTTTGTGACCATAACCGTCGCCACGGGGAACTTGTTTGAATTACATTTATAAACGTTTGAGTAAAAATTTTGCTTCAAATCGGTTTTTGACTATGTTATTGTAATGGAAATCATGTATTATCCTCAAATTATTATTTTCTATTAATAACCATCATTGAAGTAATGATGTATTACGAGATTCGATAAATGAACTCATCAAATGCTTTGGTTCTTACATGATATCATTATACCTTTTACATGTATTTGTAATTTATTCATTTGCAATTTAGTTACCTTGTACTATTAGGTATACGTATATCCAAAATTCCTAGCATTTTCTGCCCAAAAAAGCTCTGTGTCTTGTGAAGGTTTTGCCCCTGTAGTTAAAAAAGGGTATAACTAATCCATGAGACTTGACAACTGATGTAAACCAGTGGAGATTTAAACATATAACATCATTTTCGAGAGAAAAGAAGATAATATAGACATTATGGTATTCAGATTGTTTTTATATAAATCTTTTGTTTATTTACTTGTGCACTTAAGTAAATGTAATTATCAAAATTTCATGATTCACTTTCTTTTCACTATCCATACATTTATCATTGTCATTGATTAAACACCAATTATAATTATGATTGTGCACACATTTCAACAAATTCTTGATATTGATGCTTGTAATAAAAATTAATAATCAAATTACCAATTAGTTAAGAAATGTTTGCGAAACTATGTAATAAATTGTCGGTTTGGTGCTCTCATAAAGCCTAGTTCTATCCTTATTATCGATTATATTATCCTTATTTTTGCTACTGGTATTGCATAAATATTTCTAATATTTAAAATGTAAATTACTCATTCATAAATCTTCATATGTTACATTGTAGGTAAAGTAATTTTATCAAATGTCCAACATTCAATTTACTGTCAAAATCATCACCCCGCCTTAATGTTTAATTTAATAATATTCACACAATTTTATGTGCCAAAACTCACTGTGTACTTACTGAAAAATTCATTTAAAAATCGTGTATCTTCTATGGCATCCTTTACTAAGGCAGAATAATCTTTTCTATTAAGTTGCTAGTATTGTTCTAATGTATACATATGCACAACACTATAGAAACGAGTGTTATTATCTAACAATATATTAAGTATAGTAATATTAGAGTCTTGAATTACGTCTGGAGTATAACTAAGGGCAGTGTAGCTTCATAAATTTAGTGGTCAGCCTTCATCTGGTATAATAACTAGGTACTAGGTATACTTATGTATGTAGCATAAATATGAAATATGTGTACCTCTGCCTAGCTCTTCAGGGATTAAAATCTGTGTTATTTACCTATAACAATTTGAACATAGATAACTGTAGCTAGTCTTATTGTTTGTTAATTAAAAGTACCCTTAACAAACAAACATGCATAAAAACTAATGACTGTTGATGAAGCGAAAGAGGTATGTCAGAATTGTAGCCATTGGCGGTCCAAAGTAAATACTTTACCATAAAGGTAGGCAAAGGTTTACCTCTATGGTAGATAGGCATGAGGTTATATATAAATGTTCATTAATGTTAGCTCATAATAGAAAACGCCTGCGACATTAAGTCCACCTATTTCTACATTTTGTGCATGAAGCATATTAAATAAATAAATAAAATAAAGTACATAAATAAATCTGCTCTGTAATATCATTTTATAATAATACTTGATTTATTGTAGGTTTTCCCCCCTTTATCCAGTTCTGTTAATAGTTATATAGCACATGTACCAAGCTTATCACCATGCACTAGGCATAATACACAAACAATAAATAAATAATCCATAATCTAAAGGTACTAAGTTAAAGACATTCAATATGACTTTAAATTTTTAATCAAAATATTGTATTGTTGCTCATTTTATCTTCACCAGACTTAAAATTTCTTTTATTACCGAAATATAAAAACCAAGGTTCAAATAAACCTTGAAGTAATCAAGAAGCAACCTTGTGTCCAGCAATTTGCTTTACACATTTTCTATTATCAAAAATCAAATAATTTCTTGCTAGAGTTAAGACAATACAATGTTATCAGTAGTTTTGTATCATTGGCAATCTTATCAGAAATGATTAATTGTAAGAAATCACTTCTTTCCCTTTCTAACATAGTTTCTTGGTGACGAGTTGATTTTGGACAATGTTTAGGCTAGCTGTTTAATGTCGATAAGGTAACTTAAAGTTATTGGCTTCATTTTGAGTATGTGGTTAATAAATACACCTGTAAACTGTCTTACTGCAGGGCTTTGTTTTACACAGAAGTGATGAATAAGCATTATTTAACATACTTTCTCATAGCACATTAGGAGTTTCAAAATTTTATCATTATTCCATTGCTTCCTACACCATATGCCGTTTTCGACATTATAATACCTAGAAAAGCTTGTTCTACTATCATTCTGTTATCTCCAAAAAGTAATAAAAAATAGGTAGGTATTTTGTTCAATAAAATCATGCTGTATGTAGTACAGTGTGTCTCATGACTAATCTAATAGGTATCAGATTTTGTTATCTGATAGTAAAACCAATGTGCGTGAGCACATGGTAAGTGATGCAATTACTGATATCATGCCAATTACGAACTTTATACGTAGTTAATTGACATAATTGCACTTTCATTGTATTACAATGAGTCTTGCAGAGTCATTGATCAATGTTCCTCGCCAACCTTATTCTTGAACTGTCTGTTTTCTTTGGGGTCAAGAGCAATAAATCTTCAAACTACTGAAAGTTTTAAGTTCCTTAAGGCTTTGACTGCCAATAGAAAATTCTTGAAGGCAAATTGGTCATTGTTAACTCCCATGGTGTTTAATGTGTTAAGTATTGTTTAGGCTGAATCATTGACCACATAAATGTTCTTTGTACTCTAAACTCTTACTGATGGCTTAAAAAATCCTTTATTAAGCTGTTTATTGTATGTTTTACTATAAAATATACAACTGTGATCTCATTCACCTATAAGATGCAGTGTGTTATCTCTAGGAACGAGCCAATCCAGTATGACAAGTAACATTAAATTCTTAATTTTCTTCAACAGGTGACATCCACGGGCAGTACTATGACCTGCTGAGGTTGTTTGAATATGGTGGCTTCCCTCCAGAGTCCAACTATTTGTTCCTCGGAGACTATGTGGACCGTGGCAAGCAATCCCTGGAGACGATATGTTTACTCCTCGCCTACAAGATCAAGTACCCAGAGAATTTCTTCCTTTTACGTGGCAACCACGAGTGCGCTAGCATTAATAGGATTTATGGGTGAGTCGAGTTTCTTTTTTATAATTTCTCTGTTTGGCAAACATTGTTGTGTCTAACATGTTTAAAAAATAATTATCATCCTGCCAGTAACACTTCCGTTTTGATTATGGAACGCCTCTGATATTGATTTACCATAATAAATGCTATGATTGTAACAAAATGAATGGAATGAGGTTGTGACTAAAGGACCTTCCAAACTTTATATGTCACCCGAAATGAAGTAAACTTTTACTTGAAATTAGGTGTCCCTTCTTTCCGATATTTATTTAGGCGCTAAACACCCGTGTATTCACGATTACATTGATTTAATTCCACATTAGCTCTGTGTATTGTGCTTGTGCACCAAAATAATTACGTAATTTAAATATGTATGAACGCAGGCTTTCTATTCACATTTGATGGATGTGTCATCATTGTCTTACGCGCTTATCGCACTACGAGGTTACTATTATTCGTCCAACCACAAAGGCCAGGGCGTCCCAATTCTGTTACCTGAAAAATTTGAAGACCACAACCTTGGGATGCCTATTTTGACCTCATTCGGGGGTTTCCCTGACGTATGAAAGTTACTAAGGCCCTAAAATTCGCTATCGTATGTTGACGATAAAATATACAATTAAAAGTAACTTGTTTCCCTCAATAAGGACATTGTTATCACAGCTTATCTATTTACACTGAAGCACTATCATAGTATAATCATTTTATCGTGATACCTACGAACAAATTTAAAGTGTACGAAATAACGTGTTCTAGTTTAAACTGTCAAACACCAAGCGGTCACCGGTGACCGCAACCTATTGTTCTATAATTGTGTCTGCAAAACCGGTACTCGACGAGTTAATGAACTTTTGCATGACGAAAGTTCATAGATAAAACTTTTTATTGTTATTTTTTTTTCTACCCATAGATACAAAAGTTATCTGTACTTTTTAAACAGCTGTCTTGACATGATAAGTCCACATAATAATATTCAGATATACCCACGAACGTTAAAATGAGACGACCAATGTCTTGTCATTGTAATCGCCTATTATACTGAAAATGAATTATTAGAGCATAAAATAACGAATGAGCTTGTAGACGTAGATTTTCTAATAATTCAAAGATGTCAACTGAACAATATGATGATGATTTCATGGCTTTATATCTTCGATAATGTCGCATTTATAATACCTATTTCAAAGAGATCGGGTCACCTACTATATGTTTTAAAGAACTATTAAATTATCGAATCTACACAGATTGATAGAAAGGTTAAGAAAAATAGACGATTACCAATCATCTCCGCCAAGTACGGTAGGTATCCAATTGTAATAATTCACCCTTAGGGTAGGTAGACTTGCGGAGAACCTAACGGGTAACCGGGGCTCCGGCTCGACGTGCAGGAGAAGGAACGGGGTGGTTTTTAGACAATCTGGCTGACACTCCCTTCCGCCTCAACCAGGTGGGAGCAGTCATTCGATGATTTTCCACCCTTAAAAAAAAGGTAGCTAGATTCATGTCGTCCTTTAGAAGAATAGGATATTTTCTAATTAGCATAGAAGGGTAAGGATTAATTAACGGCCCCAGCTCCTAACCGTGTGTCGTAATAATTAAGTTAATCGTTAAAGTTAACTAATTTAATGGCCTGACTAATTAACTCTTGAGTGACGTTGTTATCCTTTGAAAGTACGTTTAAAGGTCACTTTGGGGTCACAAATCTTGTTTATAGAGTCCAAATGTACTTAAGGGTAAGGGTACTTCATAACGCACTGTGGTTTGGAAGTTTTGTTCTAAAAATTATTATAGGTACATTTGTCTCAATTATTTTTATTATCCAAGGTTTATAATTGCATTAGATTGAATTGTTTTTTTTACGCCTATACGGAGCCGCGGAGAACCTAACGGGTTACCGGGGCTCCGTCTCGAAGTGCATGAGTAGGAACGGGGTGGTTTTTAGTCAGTAAGAGTCTAACACTCCCTTCCGCCTCACCCAGGTGGGAGAAGTCATTCGATGACTTTCCCCACTTAAAAAACAGTCATTAGGCGTTCACTGCTACGAACTAAAGTTAAAATCATCCTGAGATGATTTTAACCTTTGTTGTAGGGTTGACCCTACATTCGATTTTTTTATTTTGCAAAATGTCTGGAATCGCAATATTTTCCTCTCATGACATAACGTTACATATTATGCGACCTGTCTTACTCCTTCAAGAAACAACAGACGCAAAATGATAATATTACAGAAACTAAAGTGACACAATAAGCAAGTAAATTACGTAAAATGAACATAAAAGTGAAGTATAAACAAGAAAGTTGCCAAAATGTGTAATGACACGTCACCGTATATTGTTGTGCAAATATTTTCGTTACACACGTAACTGGTTAGCTCGAAACAACATGACGTGTTACAGGTAACTTTTGACACATTAAACTGGACTAAGAACTTGTACGAATGAGCTTTAATCCTTGTCTTTCTATTACTGTCTAAATAGGCACTAGTTATTTAGCTTTGAGCTCTGATTTGGGACATAATAAGTGCATTATTGAGGCTAAAATTGTAGATAATTTTGATTTCCATGTACTACAGTGATCTTCGGTAAACTGAAGGACGACAAGTTTTTCGTTTTTTCTTAAACTAGGTTCGTAGTAAAAAACGTGGGCCGATCATTCTGTTCTCTAAAAAAAATGCATTACAGATTCTTAGCTCTCAGTCTTTCATAGTTTATGTATTTTGTGCGTAATGTATCATTCATGATAGTTTCCTATTTCCACATTTCCTTTAGTGTCGATTAGAAACTCAGATTCTACTGTAAAAACATAAGCTACTCGTAGAGAAATGGCGGCCTGAGTTGCTCGATTGCCTACTACTTAACTAGCCATAAATGGCCAAACATCACTTTCAAATCTACCTCTTTATTGGAATGAGCTGTAATTTTCTCTTAATACTTTTTATACCAGTTCTTCTGTACTCCTATACTTTCCTGCTATAATGTTTTCCTCTTTTCAGACATTTTGTCTAAATATAGAAATCTTATACATTTCTTAACGTAAAACGTGATATATAACTTCTTATGAGCTTAAGATAAAGATGAAAACCGATAAGTTTATTACCTAATAAGAGCCATAAAAAGACTCATGCACACAGAATATTTATTTTGTGAAATTTTTCCTACTCAAAAAAACCCTTTCTTAATCAATACAATCGTTGAATAAAATAGGGTTGTAAGTACTACCCAACTTCCTGCCACCATAAGGCGAAAACAAAGAAATCGTGCATATGTTTTTAAAGTCATGGGAAGCGAGCACGCATCCGTCATGCGCCGGCGACTCTCGAACAAAACCCGGCTGCGTATGCGCGTACTGTAGGGCCTACTTTTATGTCCCTATAGGTAGTTTTGGAGTACCTAATAGTAGGTAGGTTTTTACGTAGTGAATCAACGACTGAATGATTCACCATGTTGCTGTTTGTGTTTTAAAAGGCAAAAGTGAAATAAAAAACTAGTTTCGATAATTAAGTAGTACTTACTTTGAGTACTTTATTATTTCTGTGTAACTCGGAGTTCGTCACCAATCAATTTTTTAAGGCAAGGCTTGTAGCGGGACTAATTGGCCTTATACCTAATACCCCTCTCATTCCCACAACTTAGACTATGTTTTTATATGGAGTAGGAGGCGAACAAGCAGACGGATGTGTGTTTATTAATAAATAGAATAGCATTTAATTACTTCACCTAAACCTGCGTCGATACGGAGCCGCGGAAAACGTAACAGGTTACTGGGGCTCCGGCTCGAAGTGCAGGAGTAGGAACGGGGTGGTTTTTAGTCAGTAAGATTCTGACACTCCCCCTCGCCTCACCCGTACGGGAGAAGTCATTCGATATTTCTCCTTTAAAAAAAGCCTCGTATGCGTAATGCTTGGTATGTAAACAAACATCAAATGACGCACAATTTAAAATCCTAACCCGAAATCCTTTTAAGGTGGTACGTAAGCTCTGAAGTTGACATCATCCTTCTAAACTGGAAGTACTTGTGTTACTACCTGTTTTGGCAGACTGCAAGCTTATATTAGCGATTTGGCAAGTACAGAATTGACAAGCAAATCATTGAAGTATTTTGTCCAAAATATGCTAAAGTTTGCAACTTTGGATTAAGTGACAGTCTCAGTAAGCTGTCTTTTGGTTGATTTGGCTATACTTTTTTCGAATGATTGCTCCTGGGTGAGGCGGGAGGGAGTGTCAGACTCTTACTGACTAAAACCACTCCGTTCCTTCTCCTGCACGTCGAGCCGGAGCCCCGGCATCCCGTTAGGATATCCGCGACTGATTTGTCTATACTAGATGTAGATATTTGACTCAAACTTAACAAAATGTGTCCAAATTCTAATCGAATCGAATTATTGGGTACATAAGAAGGGCCATAATTATGACTAAGTTTGCAGTTTGTTACTTCTTTTGTTTCCGCCATGTTTAATATCTGACCCTAATTAGATACTAGCACATCGATTACGATACAGACAATCAGATTAATATTTATCTACACCAAATAAATATTTGCCACTTTCTACTGAAGTCCAACAACATCGCCGGTTTCCCCACTTGATTTTAATCAATCACCCTTCAACACGTAAGGTGGGTTTACACCGGTGACTCAGCGCAGCCCTGATTCATACCGCGGTCGATAAGCAGTCAAGTTCGAGGACTTCGAGGCCCTTGGAGACATTAGATCATGCCAAGGTTCCGTCGTAAATTATGTAATGAGACGGTATTATGTTAGAAATAGTGTCGTTTTATGGGGTTAGCTTTACCCCTATCTTGACTAGAGAATGAGTTCTCAAAATCACAATCAATTTTTATTTAATTGAGGAGTTGAGGAGAGTAGAGTAGACAAGGGTGCTTGAACACCAAAAAGTCTAGTCTAAACTATAATTTAGTTCTAAAATACCAGATTTTAAAAATGAATAGGCAGTTCATAGTATATCATTAGACTAATACACCAATTACCCAATACATAAACAACAT